TCTAGTTCATGGATTCTTTTTTTCTAGATTTTATATATTTGACAGAGAGAGACACAGTGAGAGAGGGAACACAAGCAGGGGGAGCGGGAGAGGGAGAAGCAGGCTTCCCACCGAGCGGGGAGCCTGATGTGGGGCTTGATCCCAGGACCCTGGGATCATGACCTGAGCCGAAGGCAGATGCTTAATGACTGAGCCACCCAGGAGCCCCAACGGATTCTTTCCTCTGTCCCCTCCATATTCCTGTTGAGCCTATCCATTGAGTTTTTTATTTTGGTCTTGTACTCTCAGTAACAAAATTTCTATTTGCTTCTTCTTTATATCTTCTATTTCTTTGGTGATGTTATCTACTTTTTCATTTGTTTTAAGCATGTTTGTAACTGCTCACTGAAGCATTTTTATCATGACCAATTTATGATTTTTGTCACTAACACTTAATACCTCTGACATCTCAGTGTTGCTATCTATTGACTGTCTTTTATCATTTGAGATCTTCCTGGTTCTTGGTATGACGAGTGATCTTCAAATGAAACCTGGACATGTTCATATTATAAGTCTCAGGACTTTATTTAAAACTTCTGTTTTCACTGGCTTTCTCTGACAGTTCTAGCAGGAGAAGGGCAGGTGTAGGGGGGCACAACTTCATTACTGCCAAGTGGAGGGAGAAGTCCACTTTTCCCAGTTGGCCTCCACTGACATTTGAGTGTGGGGAGCCCTCACTACTGCTGGGTGGAGGTGGGAGTCCAGGCTTTCTACATGGTCTCCACTGACAATGCACTGGGAGTAGTCTTGTTACTGCTGGGTGATGGTGAAAGACACAAGTCTCCAACAGGTCTCTTCTGACACAGCCTCAGGATGGCAGGGAAATGACCTCTCATTACTGCTGGGTGGGAATGGAATTCCAGGCTCTTCATTAACATAGTGGGGGTGGGAGGTAAAATGGGAAGAGAAGGCTCACCATCAGCCAGGAGGGAAGAAGTCCAAGTTCTCTGCTTGACCCTCTCTGATACCACTCTGATGGTGGTGGTGGGACACTCTGTTATATCTCATGAGGAGGGAATTCTAAGTTCCTCATTTAGCTTTTTCTGGCCTGGGTGGGGGTGGTACCACACTTTTTCTGTGGCATTTGGCTAAAGTAGAGGAGGGAATGTCAAAGTCTTCCTCCTTGGGGCACCTGGTGACTTGATTAAGCATCTGACTCTTGGTTTCAGCACAGGTCATGATCTCGGAGTCATGAGATAGAGCCCTGCATCGGGCTCTGCACTCAGTGTGGAGTCAGCTTGAGATTCTCTCTCCCTCTGCACCTCCTGCTCATGCTCTCTCTCTTTAAAATAAATAAATAAATCTTTTAAAAAATTAAAAATAAAAGTCTTTTGCCTAGCTTTCTGTACCTGATGTTTATAATCTATTGGCTTATCCAGTCTTGGCTATACAAGGCCATCAGAAAATTCAAAGAACCCATCAAGTCATTCCCAAAGTCTTACAGTCCCTAGAAAGTCTCCCTTCTTCTCTCTACCTTTTGGAGTCTTCTTTTATTTGTTTTTTATACTAATGTCCAGGGTTTTAGATATACTTAGTGAGAGAAATAGGGAAAAGTATGTCCCCTTCATCTTTAGGAGTTCTCCTAAATTTCTTTTTTATAGCCAGTTCATCCATCTCTAAAGTGGATGACAAAGGAAATAATACTGTATTTATCCCTAGCAAACTTGTACACAGGCAACTCATCAGAGAACTAACTAAAACATAAAATAAGGAATAGTTCAATTTTTAAAAAACTATGGGATTTGATGGTCTCAATTTCAGTGTGAACCAAAAGTGTGATATGGGAATCAAAATGTCAGTGTAATCTTAAGTTCTGAACTAATACAGAGTTCATCTCTCTGAAGCACTTTACTCAGCTCTTGAGTATCAGATTTTAAGAGCAATACTAATAAACCAGTGATAAACCAGAAGAGTAAGATAGTGGTGGTTCCAGAATGTTGAAGGAAGTAGAGATACATTACCTAGGAAAAAGGGGGACTGAGGAGAAAGGGCTATATAATAGCAATCTTTTAATATTTATTAGGCTCAATACTGAAAAAAGTGGCAGAAAATAGATCAAAGCTACTCAGAGAGGTTGGCTTTATTTATATAAGATTTTTCTAAGAATCAAAACTGCCTCAAAATGTGATGAATTGCTTTACTATCCTAAGTTTCCACACATCAGAAGTATTAAAACAAAGACTGTATGTCCACCAATCACAAATATCGTTGAGTGGATTGCTTCAGGAGAGAACCTAGAATAATTTTTAATGTGCGATTCATGGCACTACCTGAAGTGGTGCTATGGAGTTGTCGGGTGGGGTACAACTTCCGCTGAGCAGGTAAAACGCCCAATTTCCCCAATCTGCTTCAACAAGACATTCCACTTACACACCCAGCATCTATAGTTGCTTTTATTAGGGCAGGTGCAGATGGGGTAGAGAGAAGGATGATACTTTAAAAAAAATAAAAGTCCAAAAATTAGTGAAGATCTGAACTGAGGTCTCTTTGAATTCTATATTTTCTGATTATTAGTTCCTAGTTCTCAGCTATATTCCAGGAAAGTACGATCATCATTTTACTGCATAATAACTGCAAACAGGATTAATGTATGTCATTTTAAAAGTTTCCTTTTCTTCAATTATGGGACTTTTAAAATGAAAAAAGAAATAACTGTTTCGGGGCACCTGGGTGGCTCAGTCATTAAGTGTCTGCCTTTGGCTCAGGTCATGATCTCAGGGTCCTGGGATTGAGCCCCGCATCGGGCTCCCTGCTCGGCGGGAGGCCTGCTTCTCCCTCTCCCACTCCCCCTGCTTGTGTTCCCTCTCTCGCTGTGTCTCTCTCTGTCAAATAAATAAATAAAATCTTTAATAAAAAAAAAAAGAAATAACTGTTTCAAGTTTTCCACATTACCTGTGTCACTAGAGCTTATTTTCTGCCTGGGGGTGGATTTTATCTTTCTCTGAAAAATTTAATATTTAAACTAAATGCCCTTTTATTTAAAAAATAAAAAGTAGCTGGAGAAAAGTATATCTCACAAACCCACAAAGTTATACATTTTAAATTTGTACTTCTATAAAGACAAACACTGGAAAATTAGTTGTTATATACTAAATTTTAGGTGTACTATCAAAATAATCATATAATTTCTCCAAAAATAAAAGCAATTTGCTATGTGCTAGAATACTAAAATAATATATGGAAGTCGGAAGTCTGTAGACACTTGAGTCTTTAAAATACTTCATCTCAAAAGTTAAAGATCATTTCATGACTCATATCTATACTAACCACAGCAACCACATTAGTCAATCTACAGAAACTTTTTTTAAAAGCATATTTTAAATTACTAATTTTACTTAGCGTAAAAAATTAACACAAATTCCACTGTATCATCATTCTTACTGTCTTAGTCACACTAGTGGAATTCTTATCCATAAATCAATTAGGGATTCTATTTTCAACATGGTAGTTCACTGGCTTCTCAGAAATGACACTCACTCTTAAGTATTTCTAAAGGTCTATCATCTAGATTTTGCTGAGGCAGGACTCAGAAGATGGCAGGCTAGTGTGCAGGAGGGGTCCATGTATGTGGTCATGAGTCACTCAGCATGGAAATCTCAACATGGCCTGTTTTCTGCTGACAGCTGCTTATGTATTTTATGAGTGAATCATATGCTAAATAGTATACTGAATTAAGGGAACTGAAGTATTATGATAAAATATTTGTGAACATTAAGGTACACCAAGGTCTACTGTGTTGCATCTGTTTTTTAGTCATGTATTATTTATAAATTTATATGTAAAATTTTTAAATTTTATCACCACACAATATAGTAACCCAGACAGTATCTCAACATACTCTCCTATCCTTTGCTTTTATAAAAACTTATTTTCATATAAAAGGTAACATTAATGGCAGAAAATTTAGGAAATACAGAGCAGCAAAAATAAGAAACATAACTTTTTAAATGCAAAATAACAAACTTTTAACAGAAAAGCATCAGTGATTTTATGGACCTCATTTTAAATTGCAAAAGGTTGACTGAGTCCAGATTTTGTTTTCGTCTGTAATTAAATTCAACCCTTTGTTATAGGCCCACAGGACTGCTCAATGGATTTAAACATCTACGAGTAAAACTTGAGGCTTTCACCATCAAAAAGCATAGAAAATTATCCTTTAGCTTAAATTTGAGATTCTAATAAGTTATATTACCAAAACAGATTACTGATTTGAAACTACCATTAAGATAATAAAGTTAATAAAAGGTTAAGTGAAAACATCTGATGATCAGGTTTCCTTTAGGAAGACAAGATAATGGAATTAATGTAATAAAGTTATTATTTATTACTACTAAGAATTATGCCACATAATGTTTCTTGGTGTTAATCATCTATATTTTACAGGTATTTTTAAAGTAAACATATTTTATAATTCTGAGAGACCACTGCTCCCATCTTACCTTCTAAATTTTAAGAGATTTATCTTTCTAATGTAAATATATTTACTGATTTATTTTAAAACCATAGTTGAGCATATTTTTTTACATACTTCTTTTAACTATTTATGGTGAAAAATTTTTCAAAGATTCCAAAGTTTAATGAAGTAGAGATTAAGCAAACAAACTTAATGCCTGGATGCTTCTTTATAAGTTGGTTAAAATACCATCCAGTAACCTTCAAAGATGGGCTACTGTTTAATTTAAGCTTTCATTTTAATTACTTACAGAAAGTGACTCTGCTCCCTGTATGAGACACTTAATGCACTAACACTTTTAATGCACCCTGGCATAAATTGGAGAAAAGAAATTCATTTCCAGGGACAAAGGATAGGTCAAAAGATTAGGCATTCCAAAATCAGTTTTATGTTTCTCAAGATGAAATATGGCTATTACCTAAATTATACCAGACTGTGTGGATTCTAAAATTTCAAGCTTATAAAAAAGAAAGTTGTTGTGAGACTAAAAATACATTAATTCTGTTACCTTTTAGCCGGTGACTTAGAATCTGTTCCAAAATAGCTGCAAAATTGTTAAATTCAGGAGAAGAATCATCAATTGTCTCAAAGCAGGACCGATCAATCAGGGTCTTCACAGAAAACCTGTGAAAAAAAGAGTTGATTCATTCACTTAAGTAGGAAAAATGGAAAGAAAGCCATCTGGGGAAGTATTATAAAAATACCTTATAAGTATTATATATACTGAAAACTCTACTTATTAAAATTTTCTCTGTGAATAGAAAATTTTACATAAATATCAGGCTTTTAGTTATATATTTACTATCTATTGAACACAATAAGACTTAGGATTAGCTCATTGTCTTCACAGACATTAAAATCAGAATTTAAAAATGACCTAAATTATTAAATCCAAAAACTCAAAAGCTACTATACTGCTTATAAGAAATTTAAGTGTCAGACGCAAATGCTTTTAAGAGTTTGAATACAAAATTGAATGAAACAGGATGCAAGTATGCATGAAGTGTAGATCCAAAGTTTTTATGGGCTTTATAAAAAGGAAAAATTACACATCTGTAGAATGTGCTATATTTTTCCTTCTTATCAGAATGTCCTTTGTCTGTTTTTGACTGTCATAATCAATTTGTTTTCCAAGACAGCTCAAATGCCACCTCTTCAATGAAGAATTATCTTTCTCCACATTCCTAGCACAAGCATTTTGTTTGTACGGACCTTTAAGAGACAATTACAGTTTATCTTACTGCTGTTATCTGTAGTATCTATCTCACTAGAATATAAATTCCTTCAGGGACATACATATAAATGTGCAGAAACATATCTTCTGCACATTTATATCTTCCTCAGCTTCAGCACAGAGGACAATGCCTTGAACACTGTTGTCAGTAAGTACTTGTTGATTTATTAGTAAGCCCCATTTTGAAAGAATAGCAAAGAAACATTTACATGCCCATACCATGACAAGACAAAAAAAAGTTTATGATTGTTGACATGTAACAACATTCATGTCACCGGCATCAAAGTTGGGATGGTTCTGTTCTAAGACAGGACAGTTCTGTCATCTCAAGCAATTGCCTCATGCCATCCTTTATAGTCATACCCTATAAAGGGTGACAAATGAGTGCCTAAGTAAGGACAATCAGTGACGAAGGAAGCAATGGGGAAAACTATGAAAGCTGTTAGTAATTAGAAATGTAAACTATGAAGGAGATAAAGGAGTACAAACTATTTCTTAGGTTTTAGGCTTGTTGGTTATACTATTCAATAGGGACAGAAAATAGAAGAGATAAGTATAAAGGGTAATATAAAGAGATTTGTGTATATGATTACACCTAAAAACTCTACACTAAAAACTCTCTTCATCGCCAATTATAATGTGTAGGGGAATGAAAAAAAAAAACCAGTAAAACACTTATATAGTACACTATGATTTAAAACATTAGAAATACTGAGAATTTAAGGGTTTTCTTTGTAAAAAAAAAAAAAAAATTTACCAACAGTAGTTTGAACAGTGCTTGTGTTCTTACTGTATAACTTAAAGATATGGACCGAGCATATTTTCTATGCCTTGGCAAATTATTCCTTTCTAAGTATGGACCAGTTTCCAACATTTTATCCTTTGCACCTTCAATTGTGAAAATCTGAAAGAGGCCCTATAATGTGAAGTAGCTTGCCAGCACCACTTCTGCTGGGACCTCCTTTTTGTCATAACCACTCTGTTCATTTATATCAATACATTCACCTTCACTAAGTTCCTCTGGCTGCATACCTAAATTCCCTTGAATAGCAGCAGTGTCAGTATTCCCATGATTAACTCTTTCTTCCTTTCTTTTTCAAGATTTGTTTATGTTAGAGAAAGAGAGCACCAGCGGGAGGGGCAGAGGGAGAGAGAATCTCAAGCAGACTCTGCAGAGCTTGATCTCAGGACCCTGAAATCACAACCTGAGCCAAAACCAAGAGTCAGATGTTTAACTGTGCCATCCAGGAGCCCTTGTGATTAACTATTTCTTCTATAATTCCACTTGAGTTCAATTCAAATTTCACTTCCAATGTCAGCACTTTCCATTTCTTCGCCACATTTTCATCTTTGTTGGTCAGTTCACTCTTTCAATTATCCATTTTTGTAAAACATCATGTGGGTTTATCACCAAGACACAAGGAAGCAACACAACTACAGGATTTGATTTCTGTGCATCGACTAATAACACATGAACAGTGACCAATGCTAGGCAGACTTAGAAAAAAGAGATGTGACTGGTCACTGATCATGATGTGCATTTGTTATTAACACAGTGATCTGTAGACTAAGGTGCCAGCAACAAAATTTTATTTTATGCAATTACTCACAGTTCATACATCCCAGTAGTCAAACTCAAACTGTGTTGTTATACGCCTGGTATTAACTGAATTGTAGTAACTGAAATAGTACATATTGGAACTGCGCAAAGTGAGGACTACCCAATTTATTAATTACAAACAGAAAAATTCATTACATGTTAGCATAATAATGTATTTTATAAAATGTCTCTTTTCCAAAACAACAAAAAATTAGCAAAAATAGCACTGTTGTACCTCTTTGTAAATATCTTTAATGTTGTGTTGAACAGAAGAGAATAAATCCTATCTGCTTCTGTATTCAAGCTATTTTAATATTATACACCATGTAGCCTCTGGAAAACTCCACTGCACACTTGTTAAAGAATGGGAACATAAAAGGCAAATACTGTCTTAGAACTATTAAAAAAATAATTTCTGACCTTTTGGACCTCTGAAGGGGTGAGTCCAGGAGCACATTTTGAGAACCACGACCTAAAGCATTCTTAGTATGTAATTAAATAACATTTCTCTTAGAATACTAGTAATTATATATTCTTGAGAGCACTGAGAAAATAATTATTCAAATAATTTTCAGTCTTCTTTGGTCAGGACAAATAACTTTGACAGCGGTGGATTAACGTTCAGTACATGGTACTATCTATAACTACACCTAGGACTCAAAGGTGGAAGCCATTATGTAAAGAAAAAATAAGAACAGCTAAGAAAGAAGCAACACTGATGAAGTGGTCTCTGGTACTTAAAAGATAGTCAAGTTAGATAAATATCAGATGTAATGCATAAATAAATGAATAGAAACAAAAAGAAGATAAACAGATAAACCAGATTAAAAGGGACTTGAAAACTTGTTTTTGTTTCCTATGTCCATCTCACTGGTAATACAGGAGAAAAATGATATGCTGCCATTCCTTAGCAAACCTTTAATAAGAATAAGTAAGTATAATGTTCTTATTCAGTAAGAGATTGAAAAATGTTCCTAAAATGAATAAGCAAAACCCCTAGTTTGGTTTTTGACCTAAATAAAAGGAAACTTTGTAATGTTTTAATCTTTCCCTCCAATCTTCATTAGGTAGGACTCTACAATCACATTCAAGGCAGAAGTAATCTATCGCTTTAAAAAATTATGGCATTTAAGATCATAATGCACATCAGTGAAATGAAGTGAAAATTTTACTTAAAGATAAAAATAACACAGTATTTATTTCATCAAAAAGAGCTAGGTTTAAATGTTCAATTTCTTTTTTTTAAATAGATATTTATTTATTTGACTGAGAGAGAGAGAGAGAGAGAGAGCGCGCGCGCAAGCTGGGGGAGCGGCAGGCAGAGGGAGAAGAAGGCTTCCTGCTGAGCAGGGAGCCCGATGCGGGACTCGATCCCAGGACCCTGGGCTCATGACCTGAGCTGAAGGCAGATACTTAACCGACTGAGCCACCCAGGTGCCCCTGAGTATTGAATTTGTACATATAACAATATGATAAGATTTTAGTCACTAATGTCCTCCAGGAATAATACAAAATCCTAACAAATTATCTACATTGTAAATTATAACAGGAAGAAAGGCCATGGATATTAATACATATATTTTTGTAGCACCAAGAGCCATACATGCATCAGTCAATAGTCAATAAAATACATGCATCTTTTTATCATGTTACCAGTAGCTTATATTCCTACAGAAGACACTGTGTGCATGACAAAAACCTAAAATGGTAAATCTCAGAGTACTAAATTACTTTTAATCCAACACCTGAATAAAAATAAAAACAAAGTCCAAATATCCTAAAGCATACCCTTAGACACAAGTTCTGTTATTTCCAAGCATGAAGATATTTAAGGGTGAGAAAGCATTTTAAATATTTTATTATATGAAGGTTAATAAGGAAAAAAAAGAACGTTTCCTGCCTTTGCTCCATCATTTACATCCTACTCCCCTTCCACCAACACAAACCAAACCTCAGAAGGTAACCTAGTTCCTTAGAATGCATGTTTTACTTCTACGAGCCAAGTCTTCCCACTCAGCACTTAGTTCTCTAGAATCATGCAGCTAGCTCCATCATGCCAAAATAATGAGAATCTTTTCCTCCCTAACACAGTAACTAAGATGTGCTATAAAAACCAAACCTGTAAAAAGAATTTCAATACATCTAAAAAAATATCACACAGATGCTGAGCTATTTCCTGATAATGATGACATTAATATTAGTCATCTATTTCCTGAAGAGGACTGATTTTAAAATAATGAAATGACAATTTGATGAATGTCTAAAAATACCAAATCAAGGCTAAGTAACAGCTTTTACATAAGAATTAAAAATTCAAAAATGTTCATAAAAGGGTTGTATAATTAAGCACAAGTTTTAAAATGTCTCTGTCTAAACAGATTCTCTTTTCCACTTTCAATGCCCAAAGAAAATATTTGTTGGGTCAGAAATAGACAAGAATGATTGTAAATAAAACATTCAAACCTAAGAAAGCATGAACTTCCTTTTTATCTTTGGCAACATACCAAGAAAAATGAGACAGTTACCAAAACTATGTTTAAAAAATCTTCATTACACTACATTAAACTAATTCCACCCATGTCATAGATTTGTAACATAATTTTAACTATAAATAATTAAAAAGTAAAAATGTGCCAACAAAATAAAAAAATTATTACTCTGTTAAACTCTACATTATTGGAAAGAAACTATTAAGAAGTGGAAATCCACGTTTAATATTTAAGGCTCTGCATTAGTAATACATACATATATATTTACATATATGCAGAGTGATCGAGTAGGAAAAAATAT